GGGGCCTGCCGCCCCCAAACTGCTCGCTCTGCACCCCTCACTTGCAGACTCTTTATCTTGGCCTCAGAAAGTTTCTCCGTTTCCTGTTATTGAAGGCGCCAGGCATCCTGTCTACAGGAAGAAACCCCTGGGCCCCTGACCCTGGTTCTTTGGACCCAGGCATCCCCCCAAATAAACCTGGGAACTGCTCAGACTGAAGAACAGTTCAGAAGTCACCCTGCAGGACAATCCACAGCCCCCTAAGCCAGTCCCTTTCATAGGTCGGCACAGTGTTTTCCAGAACCCCGTGTATAAACAGCCCTGTGTCGGGAACACCAGGGGCTCCAAGGAAAGTGTGAGACCCATTCCCTGCCCCCAGGAAGCTTACCATCCAGCGGCATAGAGAAGGCTCACCATGGACGCCATTCAAGAACGAGGCAGGACAGGATGTGACTAAGTGCAAGGTGGTTCAGAGAAGCCCCAGCTCAATGTCCGCTTCAGGCGGGAGGGCTTATCTATCAAGAATGGGTAGTGGGAAGCTCTGCTCAAAATGAGCTGAGTGAGGAGATTCTGCCTCCTAGTTATTCCTCTGCAGGTGACTGTGCTCCATCCTCAATCATTCCTTGCATGGGCAGAGGCTGTTTGGCATTTCACCGTGTCTAACTTAATATGGTGCCTTTGGTTTAATCAGTCAAACATTTATTCAGCAACTATTTGTTGCATGCCATCTCCAGGCCTGGAATTAAGCGGCTATAAAGAACATAATGGGCCGGGTGTGGTGACTCACGCCTGTAATCCCAGCACTTTGGGAGGCCCAGGCGGGCAAATGACCTGAGGTCAGTAGTTGGATACCAGCCTGACTAACATGGAGAAACCCTGTCTCTACGAAAAATACAAAAATTAGCTGGACATGGTGATGCATGCCTGTAATCCCAGCTACTCAGGAGACTGAGGCAGGAGAATCTCTTAAACCTGGGAGGCAGAGATTGCAGTAAGCCAAGATGGTGCCATTGTACTCCAGCCTGGGCAACAAGAGCAAATCTCCATCTCAAAAAAAAAAAAAAAAAGAATATAATGACTAACTCCCTGCCCTGGGCAACTGGAGGAAGAGGGAATCACCTCCTTGTTCTACAGATAAGAAAACTGGCCCAAAGAGAATAAGCAGCTGCCCTTAATAACTAGGTGAATCTGGCAGAACTGATCCAAACATCAGCCACGCCACTAAACTTGGTCATTTAATGAACTAGATCTAAACATAGTTTGCAATTCTTGCCGTGAATCACGTAAATGTCACTCTACCAGAAAAATGGAACCTAAGAACCAGCATTTGCTCCTGGAGACCTGAGTTCCAACTCTGCCTCTGCCGCTAAATAGCTTTAGTTTTCTTACTAGAACAAAAATGTGGAAATAACTGTGCTTATTCAAAGAGCTATTGTTGGCATTAAATCCGGCAATGGATTCAAATTTGCTCTGAAAGCATAACCTGCTATATATAAGTGTGTGCTGGCTTTTTTTCTTTTTCTTTTTGAGACAGAGTTTCCTTTTTGTTGCCCAGGTGGGAGTGCAGTGGCGCCATCTCGGCTCACTGCAACCTCCACCTCCCAGGTTCAAGCGATTCTCCTGCCTCAGCCTCCCAAGTAGCTGGGACTACAGGCACATGCCACCGTGCCTGACTAATTTTTGTATTTTTAGTAGAAACAGGGTTTCACCATGTTAGCCAGGCTGATTTTGAACTCCTGACCTCAGGTGATCCACCCACCTTGGCCTCCCACAGTACTGGGATTATAGGTGTAAGCCACCATGCCCAGCCAAGTGTGTGCTGTTACTATGCAGATGACACGCCTCTTCTAACCTATAAGCTGTATTCAGACCTCTCCCCGCTCCTTACCCCAGCTTATCCCAACCTGGTTACTAGGTGCCCAGAAGCTAACTGTAATTCTGCTCCCCTCTGGTTTGGCCACAATGTGCTTACTCATTTTTCCCTCCAGTTTCTTAACAGCACAGCCAGAAGCTTAGCTCACTGCCTAGAAGCCATATCATCTTTGGGGGCAGGAGGGAAGCAATTGTGGTGTCTTTCTTTTTCTCTTTTATTTTTTTCTCCTTCCTTCCTTCTTTTTCTTTCTCTTTCTTTCCTTCTTTTTCTTTTTCTTTCCACCTTCCCTTTCTCTTTTCTTTTCTTGTGCTGCTTTAACCCCAGGCACCCCTTTAGTGCAGCTAAAAGACACTATGAGCGGCTCAACAAGAGGCAATAAGATGGGGTGAGCAGGGCTTTGGCCCGTGGGGACAATTTCTTTTGGATGTTATCTGTGCCAAAGTGGGGCCAAGGTTACCTGAGGAACAGGTCTGAGTCCCCTTCCAAGCCATCAGTGCTGCCTCCATTCCTATTTCCTGTGCCTCACTTTACCTCTCCTGTATTTCTTCTTGGTGGAAGTGGCAGGACACCTCTGTGCTGTGGCAACCAGAGGGGCCTCAGGAGCAGAGGGAGGAGCTGGTGCATCTAGACCTGGGAAGCCCTGGTCCTGCGGCTCCTCTCCGGCAGCAGTGGGTGTGAGCGGGAGCATATCTCTCTATTTGCCACATTAGCATCCTGCCCACCAAGAGGAGGGAACAGCAAGATGCTGTATGAGGAAAAAATATACCCCATCCAGCATCTCAGATGCTTTTTAAAATAGCAACTCCAGGATGGTATTTCAGCTCTATTTTTATCAGATTTATATGGCTGGACCATGGAGCTGAGCTGTTCCCAGGGTTCTCAACAGCAAGGGACATCACTGTTATAATGTTAGCTGAAATGCATTCCAGGAACCTGTAGGCTGAAAAAGATCCTGAGAAGTCATTGATGCAGCCCCTGCCTCTGTTTAGGACCATGGTCAGTTAACCACAGGAAGTTTATGGCTTGCTTTTTTCCTTAAAACCTCTTGGTTGGCCGTGCACGGTGGCTCACAGCTGTAATCCCAGCACTTTGGGAGGCTAAGGTGGGTGGATCACCTGAGGTCAGGAGTTTAAGACCAGCCTAGCCAACATGGTGAAACCCCATCTCTACTAAAAACACAAAAATTAGCCAGGTGTGGTAGCAGGCGCCTGTAATCCCAGCTACTCAGGAGGCTGAGGCAGGAGAATCACTTGAACCTGGGAGGTGGAGGTTGCAGTGAGCCGAAATCAAGCCATTGCACTCCAGCCTGGGTGACAAAGTGAGACTCCATCACTAAATAAATAAATAAAACCTCTTGGTTGCCATGCAGTCTAGCATTTCATAGCACTTTTAATCAGGAAGTTATTTTTAACATTGTCTTAAGTTTGTTTGGTCTGTTATGCAAAGTATAGACTGGGTGGTTTATAAACTACAGCACACTCTGGCAGTTCTGTAGGCTAGGCAGCCTGCTTCCGGGTTCATAGAAGGTCATCTTCTCACTGTCACCTCCCAGTGAGAGGAAGGGTCTAGGGGTGACTCTAGGATCTCTTTAATGAGTCACTAATCCCATTAATTGGGGCTTCCCACCCTCATGGCCTAATCACCTCCCAAAGGCCCTACCATTGCCTTGGGGATTAGGATTTCCACATATGAATTTTAGGGTAACACAGACATTGAGGCCGTAGCAAATATCTTACTCTAATATCTCTAGTTTTATCCTTTCAGTCACTCTCAGACCGGAACACTTACTGAGTGATACTATGTCCAACAAAATTCTTACTTAATCCTCACGAAAACTCTCTGGGGGAAGCCTTATTGTCACTCCTATTTCATGAGCAAAATTTATGTAACTTGCCCCAGATCAGACTTGGTTATGGCAAAGATTCTATGCCGGAGCCATCAGACCATTCTGCTTCCCAAGCAGAGGAGGAAAAGAACATTCTGAGATTTTTTTGGCCTTGGCTTTCATTTCTTCATCATGGTTCTGAAGGGAAGATCAGCTAGAGTCCTAAATGTATGTGTGGGCCCATGCTACAAGCTCAGCTCTCAGTGCCAGTCACACTGAGCCCTGGTCTCCCTTCTGGGCCTTTGCTCTGCTTGTCATTGGGCTGATGATGAGTAAGGTCCAGCCTAGAGCATGAGAAGGCAAACAAAATGCTGGGTGTGGTGGCTCACGCCTGTAATCTTTGAGCTTTGGGAGGCCAAGGTGGGTGGACCACCCGAGGTCAGGAGTTCAAGAGAAGGCAAACACTGCGCAATCTCAGGTATCAACCCTAACAAAGTGGAACTCACAGAGCAGAGAGTAGAACGGGTGGTTGCCAGCAGGAATGGGGAAATGGTCAAAGGATACAAACTTTCAGCTGGACTGGAGGAAGAAGTTCCAGAGATGTATTGTGCAACATGGTAATAAGAGTTAATAACTGGGCCGGGCACGGTGGCTCACGCCTATAATCCCAGCACTTTGGGAGGCAGAGGCAGGCAGATCACTTGAGGTCAGGAGTTTGAGACCAGCCTAGGCAACAGGGTAAAACCCCGCCTCTACTAAAACTACAAAATTAGCCAGGCGTGGTGATGCGTGCCTGTAGTCCCAGCTTCTTGGGAGACTGAGGCACAAGGCTTGAACCCAGGAGGCGGAGGTTGCAATGAGTTGAGATCGCACTACTCCATTCCAGCCTGGGCGGCAGAGCAAGACTCCGTCTCAAAAAAAAAAAAAAAAAAGAAAAGAAAAAAATGTACTGCATACTTGAAAATTGCTCACAGAGGTTTTAAATGTTCTCACCATTACAAAATGATAAGTATGTGAGGTGATGCATATGTTTATTATCCTGATATAGTGATTCCACAGTGTATACATATAACAAAACATTACGTTGTACACCGTAAATATATACAATTTCTATTTGCCAATTAAAAGAAATAATTACTTAAAAAACCAAAAACTTTTAGCCTGCAGGTTTAGCTTCTTTGGGTGAAGCCCCATAGCCCCCTCCACTTCAAGGCACTCATCAGCATTGTAATTACTTTGTAATTAATGCCTGTGTTCCTCACTAAATTGTAAGCTCCACATGAGCTCTGCCTCCAGGTGCTTGCAAAACACCCAAAAGAGGGTGGTGTAGATGCTCAAAACCTGTTTATTAAATTGAATTGAAACTAAAACACTTGAAACAGATTCCATTCCTGCTTATTTTCTAACAGTGGTTAAAACTTGGTAACTTCAAGTTGACATGGATTTCAGAATTCAATGTAATTTCAATAATATTATAATAGAACAAACTTAGGGTTGCTAACATTTATTTTGCTAAGCGAGGCTACTTTAATAACAACTACCAGTAATTATCACCATCTTATTTTTAAAAGTACATTTTAACCGTATGTATACATGTTTGGAATAAAAATAGTCTTTTCTGAGAAGGAAGAGTTGGCAGATGTACATCAATAAAATAAATATATTCAAATGTTTTGGATATGGAAGTATTACAAGAGAAACATGTTCAAGTATTACTTTGTATGTAATTGTTTCTTATTTCTCAATTCGGGAATCTGTATTCAACAGGGACATGTAATGTGGAGCCTGAGATGGTATTTTTCTGTTTCATGTTGATAAATAGACCACTCAGCAATTTTGCTCTATTAGGAAACTTTGAGGCAAACGGGGAGAAGCCAAGAAACAATAGCAGTCATGCCTCCAACTGCTGCTTTCCTTTTCCAACCGAGGCAGAAAGAATGTAGGCCAAGCATTGGGGCTAAAAGCAGTCGTGGAGCCGTCCAGGATTTATCTAGGAAGGGTGACATCTGCACTGCTCCAGCAGAGCCCGGGCACGGCATGCTTCTGAGGCACTCTCTCCAGCGCACAGGAACAAGGCGTGGTGCTGCCTGAGGGACTGGCATTTGCCATTTTGTCAAGGTAGGGCTTGCTCAGGATGGAAGGATGGTGGGCTCTTAAGTGATAGCAGGAGGGAAGCATGAGGCAGAGGGGGTGGCCTTACTCTCCATCCTCTGCCTGAGATCCAGGAGGCCTCATTCAGAGCCTAGCTCTGGTCCTCCATTTGCTACACGTTTATGGAGCACTTATAGGTGAGTCACCACCCGAGGTTCTGGGGAAGTGGTGAACAAAGGGCCAGAAGTCTCTGCTTCCTAGAGCTGACTAACTTAACTCCATAATGCTGGACAAGACATCCTGAGCCCATTTCTTTGTAAAATGGAGCGAGAATGCAGACCATGAAACAATCTGCTATATGAATGTAGTGTTATAACATTGCTTTATGTGAAAGATTGGTTCGCTGAGCTAGGTAGTATCCTAGGGGCCAGGGATACAGAGATAACTAAAACAAAGCAGACAAACTCACAGGTAGGAATAAAAGGAGGCACTATATGCGAAGCTACCATGTTGAGTTATCCAGAAGTCTGTACAAAGGTCACCCTATAAAGACAGAGATGGCCGGGCACAGTGACTCACGCCTGTAATCCCAGCACTTTGGGATGCGAAGGTGGGCGGATCACCTAAGGTCAAGAGTTCGAGACCAGCCTGGCCAATATGGTAACCCCATCTCTACTAAAAAGATAAAAAAAAAAAATTAGCCAGGCGTAGTGGCGGGCACCTGTAATCCCAGTTACTCAGGAGGCTGATACAGTAGAATCACTGGAACCTGGGAGCTGGAAGTTGCAGTGAGCCGAGATTGTACCATTGCACTTCAGCCTGGGCAACAAGAGTGAAACTCCATCTCAAAAAAATAAAATAAAATAAAAGTCTATGCTTTTGGAGTCTTAACAGGACTTGGCAGAGCAGCCAACCTGGTGCACTCTAGCCCTTGAGGCTAACAAGCCCAAAGAGGGCTGGATTGAGGGAGAGTGGGAGGGACCTTCGTGAGGGCAGTGGCTGACAGGTTCTCTTGCGATTACAGCAGCAGAGCACTAGCTGGCTCTGGCGGGAAACCATTGCCAGGCCCCTAGCAGGGGCTTGTCTTTTCATGTACAGGAAAAATTAAGAGGTGAGGCTTTGGGAGAAGTCCCCTTCTATACTGTGGTGAAAATAAACGAGGCTGGGAGAGAATTCAGGGGATGCTATCCCAGAGGGCCCCCTCACTGCAGAGTGGAAAGAAGATAGAACTGGCCAGCCCCTCGGGGGAGTCGAGAAGCCTTCCTGAGTGTGGGTCCCTGTCTCCATGCCCTGCCTCTCCAGACCTGAGTGCCTGCCCTCTGCTGTGACTCCCAGCCTCATTGGTCCTGTTGCGTGAACTCTGTTCCATCTCTCCTGCCTCTCAAACATTTATTCATCCAGTGTCGAGTTCCTACGCACCTTCCTCCAGGGGTCAGGCACTACAGGATGAGGGGAAGGAATGGCAAGGTCAGTGGGAGCCTGTGGAGCCAGGCCCTCTAGCAGCACGGTTGAGGGCTAGGCAGGAGAGCATGCGCTGAGGCTGCAGGGAAGGGCTGCTGCACAGGGAAGCGTCCCTCCACTCCGAGGCAGCTGTGGTGCTAGAGATGGAGCCCGTGTTTGCTTGCCGGGACCACATCTGCTTTTAGACCGGAAGCGGGTCACTTCTTTCACCTGGACCTGGAATGGGCATAACTGAGACCCAGGGAGCATTCCTGCAAGCTGGACACTGCTCTGGGAGAAGACCTCCATCCAGCCTCCTGACTCCAAGACCCCAGCAGTTGCCAGTGTCACTGTCCACAAAAGTATTTGCTTAGCCCGGGAAAGAGTCGGTCAGATGTGTTGCTGGCTGTCAGACCTCCCTGCATTGGTCACCACCTCAAAGTTCCTTGGCTGCAACTGCACACCGCCTGAACCCAGGTACTATTGAAATGGTGCAGGGGGCCAAACGCGGTGGCTCACACCTGGAATCCCAGCACTTTGGGAGGCTGAGGTGGGTGGATCACCTGAGGCCAGGAGTTGGAGACCATTCTGGCCAACATGGTGAAACCCCATCTCTACTAAAAACATAAAAATTAGCAGGGCGTGGTGGCATGTACCTGTAGTCCAAGCTACTTGGGAGGCTGAGGCAGGAGAATTTCTTGAACCTAGGAGGCAGAGGTTGCAGTGAACCAAGATCAAGCCACTGCATGCAACTCCAGTCAGGGTGACAGAGTGAGACTGTCTCAAAAAAATAAAAATAAAAGCTGGGCGCGTGGCTCATGCCTGTAATCCCAGCACTTTGGGAGGCTGAGGTGGGCGGATCATGACATCAGGAGATCCAGACCATCCTGGTTAACACAATGAAACCCCGTCTCTACTAAAAATATAAAAAATTAGCCAGGCGTGACTGCACACACCTGTAGTCCCAGCTACTCAGGAGGTTGAGGCAGGAGAATAGCTTGAATCTGGGAGGCGGAGGTTGCAGTGAGCTGAGGTTGCACCACTGCACTCCAGCCTGGGCAACAGGGCGAGACTCCGACTCAAAAAAAAAGAGCTGCAGGGAAGAGTGGCCGAGTGGAGGCCAGTCGCTTCGTTGTCTCATCTGAACTTCCTGAAGGCTGCAGCAGGTCCCTGAGGCTTTCTGACCACACCCTCCACTCCCCTGCTGTTTCTAAGGGTCTTTCCCAGGGCCACAGTGGTCCACAGCAGACCCTGAGATCCTGAAGCAGGTTGGCTGCACCTGGACCACCACCTGCAAGTAAAGGGGCTAGACTCTGAATGAGGCTTCCTGGTTCTCAGGCAAGGGATGGAGAGTAAGGACCACTCACTGTGCCTCAGGCTTCCCACCTGCTTTCACTTAAGAGCCTGCCATTCTACCACACCTGAGAGCTTCCCAAGCAAGGCACAAAATCCACAGCCCTACTCTGACAAAGTGGCCAACGCCAGCCCCTCTGGCAGCAGAATGCCTTGGTCCTGTGTGCTGGAGAGTCTTATGCGTTTACTTGTGAGCCTGCACATACAAGCCATGTTCCTGCTCTGCTTGAGCGGTTGCAGGTGTCACCCTTCCCAGATAAGCCCCAATGGCTCCTTAATTGGTCATCAGCCTCTGGCACTTTGAGGTCCCTTCCTGGTCTCAAGATCCTCTGAAAGTCTGCCTCTATTACGCCTGGAACCCTAGCCGCCTCCAGGCTTTTGCATTCAATTGCAACTGTATCACTTTGCCCTTGCTGATTCACTGTTTTGCACTTGATCTTCTGGCTGCTCCACTGAGTCTGTTTTGTCTTCCTGCTGAGATAAAAAACTCAAGGCCGGGGACTCGCTGACCAAATAACAGAGAGAGGCAGGCTTTTCAGGCTTGCATCATCTGATTCCTATTAAAACCCACCCACTTCCAAGTACCACCCCCCCCATCCTCATCAACAAGAAGTTTATCATCAGGGTTGACTGACTCACAGGGAGGTGTGACCTCAGTGCTGGAAGGAAGTGCCATCAGAAACCTCTACAGATAATTTCCTGAAAGGTGTCAAGTTTGGTTTTTTTGGGGAACTCCTCAAAGGAGAGTTGGATGGTAGGGGAAGGAGGAGGGGAGAAGGGGAGGAGCAGAACGGGAAGGAGTGCAAACAGGAAAGGCACAGAGTGGGGACAAGGACCCTACCATAGACTGTGAGCCCAGGAGCTTGAGAAGGCCCTTGGCACTCATGCAAGTCAGCTCCCACCCGTTGGTTGAAACCACCTGGAGCCTTTCCACCTTTCTCAAGGCGTTCCCACCAGTTCTGCCCACCCACTCTCCCTCACCATCTGTCTGCCTCCCAGGCCACGCTGTCCACATTGAGTGAGCCCACTACTTTATTCACTACTAGGAATAAGCCGATACAAAACACATTTTTAGAAAATTCACTTGGAGATAAAAAATCTTGTCCCCACTCCTCCCCCAGTCCCACACATCTGTGCTCTTCTCGAGTTAATTCAGCTTTGCCGAACCTCCTGCAAGAGCTTGAGCAGAGGGTCGTCAGCCCTAAGGGCGAAGGTGAGCGTGCGCTGCTGGTAGTGCTTGGGGTCACACTCCAGGTTCTCGATCACCTCGGCCAGCAGGTGGGCGCGCTCCACGCCTGAGCCGGGGGCTTCGAAGCCCAGGGCGGTGAAGTGCACGTGCAGGTGGTAGTAGGAGGGCAGGTAGTGCAGGTATACTCGAAGACGGTCTCCTGTCATCTGATAGCGCTGCAGGATGACTTCCTGACGAGATAGGAGCAGGCAGGCCAAGGGTCACCGTGCTACCTGGGGGCCGGCACCATGTCCCCATCTAGACCCTCCTCCCATATGAATCGCAGGCTGGCCTGGGACAGCTCATAAAAACCCTCCAAACAGCTCTCTGCCTGCTGTCTGCTTCAGCTCCCTCTGTCTTCTAGTCTAGGAAATCCACAAGTACAGGTGACAGCTGCAAAGCTGAGATTCTCTCCCACAAGAAGCAGGGAGCGGCCTTGATCAGCGTCCCCACCCTAACATGGATAAAACACTGACTTTCTCAAACAGTTGCTGCTGGGAATCTCGGAAGTCCCAGTGTCTACAGACAGGCCCCAGACTCCCAAGATTATGGGAACAATCTTCCATGATTTCGAAGCATTTAATCAATCATGAAGTGGGTGGGAGGAAGCCTCATTCTCTCTTTTAGTATAGAACAGGGTGGAGGTTAGAAACAATGAAGATAGGGAGGGAGCTATGCTGAGGACTTCGTGAAAGGGCAAGGACTGGGGAAGGGGTGTGGGAGGGGCTGCTCCCACACAGACCTAGGCAAGTCTCAGTGGGCTCCCTGCAGAAGAAGAAAGCATTGACTTCGGCCCTGGCTTCCTTTGCCCTCTTCCACCTTGCTCAGGGGTGGGTCTTTTTCTACCAACCTCCACCTTGAGGAGCCTGCAAGGCATAGAATTAACCAGAGACTCTCATCTCCATTGTGGGCAAATCCCTGAGGTGGTCAGAGGCAAAGAGAAAAAGACTAGGGCCTCAGTGGGCTGAGTATACACCCCAGAATTGTGTTCTGCATTGGAGCTCGCCCCAGGAACCTCTGCGGCACGGTGAGACCAGGGCCAAGGCACCTGAAGGGTTCCTGGAATAAGTGGGGCCTGCCTGCCAGGGTGGAGCTGTCTGAGCTGCTAGGGCAGGTCAAAGTGTTGGCCCAGCATCTCCCCAAGAGAAAGACACCATTGTCTGCCATTTGTAATACCCAGAGACTGCTTCAGGATATAAATAAGCCACCCCAAAAAGATAAAGGCAGCCAGAGGGGTGGTGCCATGGGTGGGCAGGAGCCCAGTGGCAGGGGGAGGCTGGGTCTGGGCAGAGCCTCTCTTCCAGGTCTGGCCAAAAAGGGGCAAACCTCTCTCCTGGCTGGGCATCGTTAGGACTGCTAGCTCTGGCACGTCAGGCAGATCATCACATCTCAGAGTGGGAAAAAGACAGACCCAGCCCCAAAGGAGGGTGGATTTAGAAGGGATCCCTCTAGATAATGTGGTCCAGGGAGGTGAAGTAACCAGCCCCAGGCCACTCAGCTGGTTAGGGTCCAAATGTCAGGCCAGGACCACACCCAAGATTCTAGACACTCTTCCCCCATCTTCCCCTGCTCCTGGCCTCCATTTAGAGCCCCTATAATTTCATTCAACTCAACAAATATCCCAGAGAAAAGTATCCCAGAACACTGGTGCTACAGAATTCAGTCTGTCCTGAGTCTAGACAGGGAGACACATGCATGCACACATATGGAAGTCATGCGCCCATATTCCCAAGCAGCTCTGGCACGATGTGGTTTTTGTGGTTGTCATGAGAAATGGGTGGTCCTTGAGTGGGAGGGGCCAGGACTTAAGGACCAGAGTCTATGGAGTGAGAGGTGGAAGTGCATCCTAGATGGGACCTGTGGAGAAAGGCTGAGGAAGGCAAGCATGAGGGTGAGGAAATGTGGCTGAAAGCAGAGCTGGAGCGCCAGGCAGGACCAAGGATATAGGGCTCTGCTCTTCAACCTGAAGAGCCTAATGGGGTCCCCGAGAGAAATCTCTACAAGATGGACTCTGGGAAGGGTGAGGAAAGGGGCCCAGGAACACACTGGAATCTGAGTCTAATTTCTCTGCGCTTCCATGTAGTATGGTGAAGCCACTCACCTGCCCCTGGTGGAGAATGTTCCTGAGGAGCGGCAGGTGCTCTGGAGTAAGGTCGCGGAGGGACCTGATGCCCCGGCGATGGCAGATGGCAATCAAGTAGAGGTCATCAAGCTGCGTAGAGAGCGAGGGGAGACCAGGCTCAGCGGGGAACAGACCTGGGGAGGCTGCCAACCCTGGAGTTCTCACATAAGCCAAGACGAATCCACCTGAGGCCTGCAGTGCCAGGAGAAACCCCGAAGCAGGACTGCCCCCAGGCAATGTGGGCAGCCGCAATCCCAGGCTTGTGGGATGGTCTGAGGAGCAGGCCTTCTGTGTCTGCTTCTTGCTAGAGAATACCCTGTGAGAGTTCTACATACTCATTCCCCAGAGCTACCAGGGGCAGGGAGCCGAGAGGCTCAAGGAAGAGCAAGGGTAACTCTCTCCCTCGAATAGTTTACAGTCTGATCACATGTATGTAAGTAGCTCTACTGTAAGACACAAAATAATCCCAGCACAGGAGGAAGGAAAGACTCTAGCTACCTGGAGCAACACAGGAAGGCCTCCTGGAAGAGAAGGCAGAGGATCAGTCCAGAAAAAGTGGTAGAATTTGGAGAAAGGATATTCAGGTAGAGGAAACAGAGCAAAGGCTTGGAGGCAACAATGTATAGGGTACGAATGTAGAGGGCATAGAAAGTATATGTAAGGGGAGAGGAAGTAACTTGATTTGTCTGGAGTCAAGGCACATGAACAGGTGGAGTGGGATGTGACGGCTGGGAAGGGAGCCTAGGGCCAGCTCGGCAGCACACACACCAGGGCAGTTAGCCTGTTTCTCTCTTCCGCTATCTCACGGGACACCTTCCTGCTGTCCTTCCTGAGCACAGCCTGGCTGATGAAAACCTGAAGGTCACCACAGTACAAAGAATCAAAGTCAAGATCTTGTGCCAGAGGGCAAATGCACTCTTCCTCTTGCCCAGAAAACCCCTGCTTACTTAAACCCTGGCCTTGCCTGGTAATTACATCCATGTGCAGGCAGGCCCCAGACACCAAGGCTCTGAGGGGCAAGGTGCGGGGAGAACCCAGCAGTGCCCTGCCCTGCAGTCTGAGCTACCAGATTCCTCGTGGAGATAATTTCAGGACCATGACTCACCCAACCAAATTCCCTGGGGCCCCAAATTGAAAATTCAGGATGGGATTTTCTACATTACTTCTTGATATCCAAATATGCCATGGTCTTTACATGCCATGAACATTTTTCCTGCCAGAATTCTAGGAATCTGGGTTCTCTGCCTCAGACTTTCTGCAGATGAGCCCACAGGAAGCTCCCACGTGTAGCTGAGCTGTATGCACCAGGCCTCAATTTGCTCCTGTGTACTCTCTCATGGTCTGTGCCCAAGAAATGTACTCTCTCACTTTGGACTTAGGAATCCAAAGAGAAGCCCAGAAACAAAAGTGCTTCAACTTAGGTTTTGTGTGTGTGTGTGTGTGTGTGTGTGTGTGCGTGCGCGCGCGCACGTGCACAAGCACATGCTGATGAATGTCTGAGTGTGTGCGTTTTCAGCTGTTCTATGTGTCATTGTCATGGGACTCCCAAATAATAGTAACATTTGTTTTGGGTTATGTCTGCTGACAAATCACAAACATGACACTAACTCGCAACTCTCTGCTCCACTGGCATAGAATGGGGCATGGAGCCTGGTGCTGGGTGTCAGACAGTGGTGTTAGGTGTCAGTTTACAGGCTTCATAAGGGAGGGAAAATAATCCATTCATTAGACATGACCCAACATTTCCTGCTGGCAGCCAAAGGGCCTCCTGGCTCAGAGAAGTGATCTGAAAAAAGCTAGACCAGGGGCAAGAGAGGGCCTCAGGCTGGCGCCCCAGAAGGTGGCCCGTCCATCACTCTGGGAAGACAGATAGACACCATCAGTCTCTTTTTACAAGTCAAGACCGTAAAATCAAACTAATAGTTTCCTGGCAGGAAGAAAGAGAATTGCTGGAGCATTGGAGAGCCATCTTTTAACCTCTAGGGTGCCTCAAAGGAAGAATTCCCTGGTCTGAGAACTTTAGATCAAAGAACTTAAATCATATGAACTGAAAATGTGTGTGTATCTATATACACATGTACATATGTTTATAAACCCAGTATAGAAAGGTTACCAGAGACAAAGAAATAGCAACGACAGTGGTTTTAGGGAAGGGAAAGGAAGGACTGTGGGGTGAGGGAGCATACTTCCACTGCACATCCTCTGTTCTGTGTGCATTTTTGCCACGTGTATGAACTAACCCTACAAGAAAATAAACAAAAGAACACAGGTGACCTTTAAGAGAATAGAAGAAGGTATGTTATAACCTCCTAAGGCGGCACCGTCTCTAGCAAACAGGCACCTGATAAATATTTGTTGAATGGATGAAAAAATGGATAATCCCTTGAATTCAGGGCCATCAGTTTGGAGACAGTAACTTTCAGGACCAGTGGCAGGAGGAGATTCAAGGTGATTAGGAAAGATCCTGAAAGCAAACACCAGGGTGTCTCCCTATCCCCAGCCCTTCCCTGGCCCAAAGACAAAGAAAAGAAGCCCAGACATGGCCTGTCTTTCTGCTGGATGCATTGTCTAATTCCAACAGAGCTATCAAATTCAGGGCTGTCACAAGTCAAGGATCTAACACAGTAAAATACGTCATCATCCAAAGTCAAGTAAGAATTAAAGCTGGGTGCGGTGGCTCACGCCTGTAGTCCCAGCTACTCAGGTTGCTGAGGCATAAGAATCGCTTGAACCCGGGAGGCGGAGGTTGCAGTGAGCTGAGATCACACCACTGCACTCCAGTCTGGGCAACAGAGTGAGATTTGTTCTCAAAAAAAAAAAAAAAAGAATTAAGCAAAGGTTAAGAAGGACCACACCTGCATCACTATGAAGCAAAGCCTGACATTTAAGCTTACCCTTTCATGACCCTTGAGGACAAGTAATTCCAGCCCTGTGGCTGGAAGCCAGAGTGCAGCTCCTTAAGCTTTTCCTGTCTTAAAGGGGACAGAGGGAGGGAGGTTCCACTGGCAGGTGAAGCACTGCCTGCCAGCACTGGAGTCAGAAGAACAGCGGATTTCTGTTCTCTGCCATGGGTTCAAATGCATTCAGGGCTTCAGGGATAGAGATGGACAAGTTTAACTTTTGTTGTCCTTCCAAGGCCTTAAGACTGCAATCCCCTGGCAAGCTCTTCAGTCTTCAAGAGTCTCGTGCGGCAGAAGGTCCTCCTACCCTATGCCTCCACAGCCCTGCTGAGATTCTAATTAGTGGGGGGCCCCATTTCCTATGACCCAGGCTTTGACCCCGGATCTCCAGGTGCAGGGCAGCCCCAGTGGACAGACTGGGGTTTGCAGAGCCACCACTCAGTTTGAGTCAGTAGACCTTCAGGTCCTACCTCTTCAAATGCCTACAGACCTAGTCCTCCCTCAAGGCCTGAAGGTGGCACAGGCAGAGAGGCTGCAGGGAAGGGGAAAGGGGATGCGGGTGTCCCCTTAGCCTCTCACTGCAGCACCCCACATGAGGAGAGCCCTCTTCTTTGAACTTACTTGGCTCTAGGAAATCATCAATCAATGCTGCAACTTCGGAAATTCCCTTCAAATTCTCTCCTACCCCTTAGGCCACATTTAGGAATTCCCACAAGCCTCCTGTCAAGAGACGAATGATGCTCACATGCCTGTGTAACTCCCAGCCAAACTCCCACCCCTTTACCTCAAATCAAAATTGAAGGCCTCATGGGCAGCCATAACTGAGGAGGCAGAGGGAGCGATCCCTCGGAGGGACAGATGGGGTCCACCACAAGGCACCTTCTCTATGAGAGTCTCTCCACCCTGTGAGGGATGCAGAAACCAGACGGGCCCACTGAGAGCAGAACGGCACATCTGAGCCTGGAGTACGCCACAGGTGAAAGCAGAGGAGAGGGGATGTGTGACTGCTCCCGGTGCCCAAGCTGGCCTGCCTGCCTTGGCTTATCCAGGCCCCTCTCCTGTTTTTCTGGTTTTTTTGAGACAAAGTTTCCCTCTTGTTGCTCAGGCTGGAGTGCAATGGTGCAATCTCAGCTCACTGCAACCTCCATCTCCCAGGTTCAAGCGATTCTCCTGCCTCGGCCTCCAAGTAGCTGGGATTACAGGCATGCACCACCACACCTGGTAATTTTGTATTTTTAGTAGAGATGGGGTTTCTCCATGTTGGTCAGGCTGGTCTTGAACTCCCGACCTCAGCTGATCCGCCTGCCTAGGCCTCCCAAAGTGCTGGGATAACAGGCATGAGCCACTGCACCCGGCCACCCCTCTCCTGTTGCAGGCTGAGTATGGTCCGGTTCCAGACTGTGGTGTGAACAGCACTCTCTACAACACAGTGGCTCTGCCTGTTTCTGATACTCTCAGGGTATAAAAGTGGTGGTGGTAGGTGATAACTCTGGCGGTGGGCTGGTCTGGGAGAGACAGGAAGGCCATAGGGAACTCAAAAGGGATACCTGTGAGGGAGGACGGATCCTCCCAAACCTGCTCCTTAGGAGGATGGGAGAAGCAGAGGTGCTTGGAGGCCACAGCATGGGATCGAGGAGCTGAGTGGAAGTCTGGACTAAACTACTCCACAGCTCAGGCTGAGGAGGAGATGCCTTGGGTTGGTCACCATGGTTCCTGCCTGCCAGTGCTTCAGAACATGGGCCTGCCTGGATCTGCTGGTGTCAAGAACGGAGAAAATGTAAACACCCCCTCTGAGGGCTCCAGGTGCGGCTGGAAGCACAGGTGGCTGGCCAGACCACTTGGCTGGTAAGGAATGGCCTATGTAGTCATGGGCGCAAACATCACCCTATGTTACCTCCTGGGTGGAGGAGAGCCAGAAAGGGCGTTAAGCCAACCCGTTAAAGCAAAAGCACTTATGTAAGACTGGTATGTACCTGGTCCCCACAGACAGCTCAGGCTACCCTTGTTGGTTAATTATAATCTGCTTAGAGACAGCCCAGCGTGAGAAAGAGGGCAATCAGAAGGACCAGCACTTGGAGCAGGGTGGCCAGAGACCAGGGCATTCCAGCCAGAAACCTTTACCTGCTGTTGGTTCCACTTGAGGTCAGGGATGAGGACAAACCCGTCAGAGGGATCTGGGTTCTCAAAAACAATCCGGTCCGCTTCAGCCTTCTTGTCGAGAATGTTATACACCCACTGAAATGATGGGGAGAGAGATGGTTGACAAAATCCACTCCACTCATCACCCCTTGAGAGATACCCCAAACTGCGCTAGGTACACTCCCTGCCCTCTCCAGGAGACAGGACCAAACCATAAAAGGCCGCTAAGCTCAGAGGATCTACATTAAGGCTGCCCTGTCCCCAAGCATCTGTTCTTAGGGGTCCAGAGGGGATTTCCCCCTTTCCCACCCCAGCAGGCACTCAGCCATGCGTCATCACAAGGGTCTCTGCAGCTCAGACGGAGCCAGGCTCTTCCTGGTTAGCAGAGTGCACACGCTCTGTGGCGGTCTCACAGGCCCCAGCTGCATCTGCCCTCTATAGCAGTGACCCCCTCCACTGCTCACAGGACTCAGGGGAAGAGCTGCCTCCACAGATCCTATTTCACTCTATTCAGGACTATGGGGCAAAGAGAGGTAGGAGGCTGAGGGCACTGAGGTTTCCTTTTATGGAAGGGCTGGCTACCCACCAGTGCAGTGAGAGCCTTTGCCTCTAGAAGCCCATGTGTGTGGGTTTCCTGCCGTGCTGGGATTCTCATCAGTGGTGGGCTCAGCACCTCCGCCCGCCTGGAGCTGGTGCAGATGCCAGTGTATCAGCAGTCTCTGCTGACACAGGCTCTGCATGGCAAAGCAGAAATGAAAGCTATGTGGAGACATGGAGGCAGCGACTCACCACAACCTTTCAGGGCTACCCAGGGCTCCTGACCCTTGTGTCACCCTTGGATCAGCTGCTGTCAGTAGTCTGCAGAGGACCCTTCCCAGGCCTGTATGGACCCCAGGACATCACTTTACAGAGACGATCCTGGAGGCCTGCCTGAGGTTAGGAGGCTGCAGGAGGTTGGGCTGAGAAGGCCCCTGGGCTCACAAACCTCAAATCCCAGTACCTCCAGCTCTTCTCTCCTTCCTCCCAGCTCTCAGGCCCTTTGCAGACATGAACTTATATAGGACAGTGAACTGTGCCCTACATCCGAGGGAGAAAACTGCCGGGAAACCAGAGAGGGGAGTGGCTGAGGACACACTACTGCCCCTTCCTCCTCAGTCGGAACAGTCTCCCAGCTCACTGACATGAGAGAAGCAGCCACGGACACGGAGTGGGATGGGGAGGCCCGCGAACTGACACTACCAGACAGCCATGGTCCTCTTTCCACTCCCAGAAGTGCTGGACGGGCAGCATCACCAAAGGCCAGGGGCACGGGGACTGGCTTAGGGTCTGCACAGCCTCACACCTTGAGCCCGCAGGGCTGAACACACCGCACTGCATCCTCGCTTCTCAGCTGGGATGGACATGGAGGGAGCAGAGGGCAGCTGGGCCTCGAGGCCTCCTGCAACTCCCAACCTGCGGGAGGCATTTCAGCTCAGAGGGCCCCAAACCTCTCACAAGACCCACAGGCCGGTCACAATGTGGTCCATTCACAACAAAACACAGGCTGTTTCCCAGAAGCTGAATGGGGCCCCTTCCTGGGCGGGTTCTGGAGGACACCGGTAGCCACTTCCTCAGGTAGCACCTGGGCCAGAGCAACGCATGACCAGCACATGCTTAGAAGTGTTTCCTCTCTGACCTGAAAGCTCCTGGGAATGTGCTGCCAGAGGAAAAAGCCAGCAGAAAAAAAGAGAGGGAGGGAGATGGCATTCCCTACAGAGAACCCCAGCGTACCCATAAGCAGACCTCCCCAGAGCCCATCCGTGACTCACAGAAAAGGGGTGTCTACCTCTGACTGTTATGAGAGAGCACGTGAGCGGGTTCTGAGCCCAAGGAGACCTGGTTTCATGTCCCAGCTGTCACTGGGTGAGCTACTGATGCCTCCTTTGTAAAACGGGGCTGATACCTACACGAGGGTGGTGAAGGTTTTCAGAGAGAACATGCACATGAAAGCGCCCAGCACAGCCAGCATAAGGGAGGCCCCAGTGAGTGGTAAACATGGTGGGATGATGTGCCAGAGGCCACGAGACCGACTGGCGACAGGAAAAGAGGGAACGGCAGTGAGAGCAAGGAGGTGGTGAGAGAGGAAATAAGAGCGAGGCTGGAGGACAAGTGACTGCAGGAAGGACTGATGACCGTGGGAGCAGCTGCACTCTGCCTGGCACTGCTCTCAGTGTCCAGGCCACCCTAAGAGATGGCTGCTATCATTGCCCCCACTTTTTTATTTGAGACAGAGTCTTGCTCTGTTGCCCAGGCTGGAGTGCAGTGGCGCAATTTCAGCTCACTGCAAGCTCCGCCTCGCAGGTTCAAGCGATTCTCCTGCCTCAGCCTCCTGAGTAGCTGGGATTAATAGGTACGTGACACCCCACCCAGTCAATTTTTGTATTTTTAGTAGAGATGGGGTTTTTGCCATGTTGGCCAGGCTGGTCTCGAACTTCTGACCTCAAGTGATCTGCCCACCTTGGCCTCCCAAGGTGTTGGAATTACAGGCATGAGAAACTGCACCTGGATATTGTCCACATTTTGCAGGTGAGGAGAATGCAAGTGCAAGGAAGTTCATGCTGGGTCAGCCATTTCCAACCCTGCGAGTCTGGCTCCTGAGCCTGCGCCCTGGGCCAGGGTACATCCTGCCTCCTGGGAGAGGCCTCTGAGAGAGTGGCAGGGAGCTCCATCCGCAGGAACTCTCAAGGCCAGAGGCTCAGAAAAGAAAGGGATAAAACTGAAAGAACAAAATTCACACAAACACAGAGGACTATGTAATGGGGAGTGTCGCCATCTGAAAGCATGCCCAAGAGACTTGGCCAGCACTGCTGATAAACTGGTGGGCAGTGGGTGATGCCATCTCCATTCTGCAACTCACCTGGCTGGGCTTCTTTACAGTAGGTGACACTGGCGGCTCCCTCTACCCTCTCTCCCGCTTTGATCTCCCATGAGACATCTTGTTCCTTCCTCATCACCTCTTGCTCTCTGCTTCTGCCTGCTGCCTTGCACTTCCCCTCCAGCCATTCATGGCCTGGCCAGGTCTCCCAGGTGTCTTAGCTCTGCACAATTCCCTGCCTGTTCCTCTGAACCATTACCTGGAGTAGAGAATGGTGGCTACCATCCTGGCACCATTCTCTGCTGGAAATAATAGCAGGCACATAATACATAGCCTCTCTCTCAATTTCCACAACACCCAGGAGGGAGGGGCCATTTGTTACATTCTTCAGACAAGGGAACTGGGGCTCTGAAATTAAAAACAATGTCACGTCATTCTAAGATGACAGACTGAGAATCCACATACAAGGCTGAGGTTGAAGTCTAGCTGGGTGACTCACAAATAGACATTTGTAACTAGATGATCTCAAAGGCTCCAGATCCAGACATCCCACTACAGTTTACACTGGGAAGTCATAACTACATCACATGTAAAGAGCCAGATAGTATCTCTGGCTTAGGGCATAGATGCTGAGACCAGACTGCCTGGCTTTGAGACCTGTCTCCAAAAGGGCTGCTGTGAAGAATAAATGAGATGTGAGGCCGGGCACAGTGGCTCACACCTGTAATCCCAGCACTTGAGGAGGCTGAGGAGGGCAGATCATTTGAAGTTAGGAGTTCAAGACCAGCCTGGCCAACAAGGTAAAACCCTGTCTCTACTAAAAATGTAAAAATTAGCCCAATGTAGTGGTGAGTGCCTGTAATCCCAGCTACTCGGGAGGGAGGCAGGAGAATCATTTGAACCTCGGAGGTTCAGTGAGTCAAGATCGCACTATTGCACTCCAGCGTGAACAAGAGTGAAACTCCATCTCAAAAATAAATAAATACATAAATGAGGTGTGACGCACATAAACGCTTAGAGCAGTTCTTGGTACTATGCATAGGAAGTGCTCAATAAATTCCAAACTGAATTCACTGTCTTCCATGCAAACCTGCTCTTCTGTCTCTGTCCCCTATACTGGGTCATAAATTATCCTTCTATCTATTCATCACCCAAGCTCTTCCCTCCCCTCTCCATATCAACCAGTTGTGAAGCCCCATCCAGCCGTGTGAAGACCTACCTCTTAAATTGCTCTAGAGTCCTTTCCCAATGCCCTTCCTCGGTTCAGACCCATACTGGTTTTTCCAGTCTTCCTGTTCTATGTTCACCTCCACTCCACCAACTAATCTGCAAATCGGACCGTATTACCCACATGCTTAAAACTGTTTCAGGCACCCTCACTGCCTATGGCAACTGTTCTCACATCTGATGGTTGTTAGAAATATCATAGATATATATATATATATATTTTTAATGAACATTTCCCAGCTCCACTCCCTGAAGGGTGAGATTCAGCAGATGTGGAATAGTGCTCCATGCTGGGTATTTATAAGAATCCCCAGGCAATCCTGATGATAAGCAAGGTTCAGGAACTCTGGGCCCCCTGGACCAAGTGCACATGCCTCCGCCTGGATCAAGTCCACATGCCTCTGCCTGGCCCCTGCCTACCATCTCAGTGCTGTCTCCTCTGACCCTCCAGCAGCCCAAGCCCCAGTCACACCAGACTCCTTGTGGCATCCCACAGCATCAGATGATTCCAGCTCCGTGAGCCTCTGGACTTGCTCTCCCTCCCCTTGTGCACCTGGGAAACTTGTATTTGTCCTGCAAGCCCCAATAAGAGGATCCTCTCCCTGCAAAGCTCCAACTATCTGAGCTGGCCACTGTCTCCCTGCATTACCACGGTAGCTCGTCTAGGCACCAGAGTGCTTATCTCATTGTTACAATTGCCTGTCTACAAGTCTATTTTCCCTGCTAGACTGTGAGGACACTGTCTAGGTTTCATCATCTTGGTGATCCTCCAGAGCCTGGCATAGGACCAGGTCCACAATCAGAGCCCAGTAAACATAATGACTGTTGCCAGTTAAGGTGAGTGCTTGTCAACTAGAAATAGCCAAGAAGAAATATACAAACGCACCTGTCAGTCAGGAGTTGGAAGAGTAGTGGAGTTTTCATTGTGCTCTTCTCTGAGTGGAACTGCATAATGGTGTATAATAAGGAAGATGCACAGCCAGGCGACGTGGCTTACACCTATAATCCCAGCACTATGGGAGGCTGAGGCGGGCGGATTCCCTGAGCTCAGGAGTTCGAGGTCAGCCTGGGCAGCATGGCAAAACCCTATCTCTACTAAAAAGACAAAAAATTAGCCAGGCATGGTGGTACGCGCCTGTAATCCCAGCTACTTACACCAACCAAATCAGGGCTTCCTTACTTGGGTATCAAGTTTGCACAACAGAACAACTGTTCCAGGAGATTCCCCTAGGATCCCGAACAGCAGAAACTCTAGGAAGGTGGAGACATAGTTGCTTTCCACTTGAAAAATAGAACAAGTGCAGAGACTTTAAAAACCACCACCACCGACAACAAAAAAAGCCAGCTTGAGCCACATGCACCCCAGGCCAACTGCTGCCCAGGGAGACTATGGCTGAACCAGGTTGGGGAAGGGGGCTGGTGGCACACAGCCTCCCAAAGAAACGCTGTTCCCGCAGGCCCTGCCAGCCTCCCTTTCCTTACTCCTCTCAAGTGCAATTCATCTTGCAGTGCCCACACACAGCACACCTTGCCTTCTTCTGGGCCAGGGAGGAGTAGCTGTGAGTTCCCCACATCACAACACCCTCCACCACAGTGACCTGAATCTGGGGAGAGTAACTGAGAAATGCTCAAAGAGAACAACAGTGAGTGATAAAGAGAAAGAACAGTGTGAGAGTCAGTGAGTGGGCAAGAAACTGACTCATCAGTAAGCATCAATCATATTTAACTCTGAGTACCCACATGGGGCCAGTTTCAGGCAGAGGCTCCAGTTGGCACTGAGCCTAGGCCCAGGGAGGAGTCAGGATCTTGGAGCTAAATGGCCTTTCATCTGGCCTGGCCAGACAACTGCCAGCTTGTGAATGGAGGCCCTGCACCAAACTCCCAGGGTCAATGGGGTCCTGCCTTCTTTTGGGCGAATGCAAGGGGGAGTGGGTGAGGGAAGAGTTTTTACTCCAAGACTCAGCTCCTGCAGGTCGGTTTGCCGCAAATGAAACCAGGAACAAGAGTCTGGACTGGGTGGGACTAACTCAACATCAGTCTTTTACTCATTCACGGACCCAAAGCAAGGGCACAGTCATCCTGAGGCTGGATCAGGGCTACTGCAGAGCAGACACACATTCTTCCAATGGACTAAATTGCTTTGAGGTCCTCAGAGAGCCTCCATGACATGCCCAAGCACATCAGGTGGGACCAAGATCAGCATCGGTTCCCTCACCACCAGCCTTCTCTGACCATGCCATATAAAATGGCAACTGCCCACCCCATGCCTTTTGGTCCCACTTACCCTGTCCATTTCTCTCCACAGCACTCATCATCTCACAGAGTATATAGATCCTAAGATATCTATGTAAGGTCACACATTGTGTGACTGTGCATGGATGGAAGCCTCACGAGGTGGGGATTCTGTTCGCCATGCTCTCTACTATACCCCCACCCCCTCGCCTAGCACAGTGCCTGGCCCCTAATAAAACTCTAATAGACACTTGTAAGAGGAGACACCAGCCACGGGAGCGGTGCTTTGTGCCTGAGACACATGGCCAGTCACCTGGATGCTGAGACTCTGGGACTCCAGGTGGGGTAAAGTAATGTTCCTGTAGTTATCTCCCGTCTCTCGGATCAGGCGGAGGTCCTGGCGCAGGTACTTCTGGAGGTGTTTCTGTGTGGCGGGGTAAACCACGGTTGTCTTGACATCTGCAACGACACAGCACAGTCCGTGATGGGGAAGCAATGCCCACTCTCTATGGCACAGGCACCATGGTAAGGAGAGAACTCCCGCCCTGGCTTTGATTCCCTGAGGGAAGCCAAAATCCGAGAGGTTCTCTGCACCCCAGATCCACTCCCACAGGGTGCCTCGTGCCACTGCATTCATGAGCTGGGCCACACTCGGAACCTGGAAAACACGAGATTCTCACTTGTGGGTCACTGGGCCCCTCATCAGGTGAACCCCAGCTCTTCCTGCTCCATCTTCCAGGCACAGGAATAAGAGGTCCCTAACTCTTTTCACATGCCAAATTTCTAGGTATGTGGCTTTCTGGACCCAAAGTTGAAAATGTGTTTTAAAGCCTAGTAGTTCCCTTAACAACAGGCAGTGCAGCACAGTGCAGTGGTTACAGGCACAGACTCTGGAGCCAGACTGTCTGAGTTCAAGTCCTGGCTCTGCCTGCTCCTTACTCTAAATGGGGCATTGGCCTCACCCAGAGCATGGTTCAGTTGTTTAACCTCTTGGTGCCCCTACTTCCTCATTTGCCAAATGAGGATAGTAAAAGCTCTTGTGTCATAAGACTGGGAGGATTTAGCAAGTCAATTACCTTTGAAGTTCTTAGAACAATGCCTGGCACACAGTAAACACATAAGTGCCGTGATATTTAATCCAGGGTTTCTCAACTCCGGCACCACTGACATTTTGGCCTGGATAATTCTCTGTTGCGGGGGCTGTCCTATGCATTTAAGGATGTTCAGCTGCATCCCTGGCCTCTGTTGAGATGTTAGTAGCACCCTCCCCAAGTTGTGACAACCCAAAATGCCTCCAGACATTGCCAAATTTTCCTGGAAGGAAAAACTGTCCCCAGGTGACAACCCCAGTTTTAACTAGAAGGACATCTTGCAGTTTTCCTAAATAGACTCTAGGTTAGCATCCGGGTCCAGCACCGCCTGGTTTTAGTTAAACCCTTTCCCTTATTTTGAATAGCATTTGGTACAATCATTGTCATTACTCCAACATTTACACAGTGTTTAAACATACATCTCAGGGGTAGGGAAAGAAAATGGTATTTCAAAATCAGTTTGGCTCTTTCTCAAAAGTCCCATGGTTCCCCTCTGACTCTTATTTGAGGTTTAGATAGGCTGCCCCAGGGAAACCCAAGAGAGAGCTAAAACCCCACAGGGATATTTTACCACCACGAAGTCCTCACACTCATACATCGCAAAACCCAGCTAAGAACTACCAACCTAGGGCTTTCATATTTGGTCTGAGGTCATAGGTGGTTTTAACCTCATTTTCATACATCAGTGATGAGGGTGGGCTGGGACAAAAAGAGTCATCCAGTATCATACTGTGAAATGCAGCAGAGGTGAGTCTTGAACGGAGGCCTTACCCTAAAGCCAGCGCTCTGGACACCACAGGCCGCCTAATGGCCCCAGTTGTACTTCCAAAGCCCACTGGGGATGTACAAAGATGATATACCAGGCACATGACTTCTGTCCCATCAAACATCTCAGTCCATCAGCTCTGGGAAGCACAGCAGCACAGTGGGAAAACATGGACGCTGGCCCTGGGCTGGCCACATGACTCTCCATACTGGCTGTGTACCCTTGGGCATGGCGCTTAACGTCTTAGAGCCTCGGCTTCCTCACCTGTTAAAGGGTGCTCCTTCAAATCTGCCTCACAGAGTTGTTTACATTAAATAAAACATGTCACCTAGATCACCAGAGGTGCTAAATAAATGTCACCCAATCCCAGGAATCCCTGGACCTGACCTTGAAAAGAAAGCACGAAGGCCTCCTCACAACCCTCTGAAGAGCAGCACAAAACTGTTCCTTGCTTCTCACTCTGTTCTCTAACAGCTCAGGGTCATAGGCCAGAGGCCAGAGGTCAGAGGTCAGGCACACCAAGATCTCAAGAGGCAGGAGACTGCTTGAAGTAGATTGAATGGCACCACCTTGACCCTTGCAGTGGACCTGAGGGAAATCCCTACATCTGCAGGGGAGCCTGGTGGATGAGAACAGAGATTTTGGAGCCAGTCAGCCTGGGTGCGAGTCCTGGCTCTGCACGAGTTCTGCGTAACCTCAGGAAAGGGACTGACCTTGTGGCTTCAGTCTCCTGACCTTTACAATCTCGGGTAATAACAGCACCTGTCTTCTGGGTGTTGGGAGAATTAAATGAGTCAATAGAAGGAAAGATTCAGGACGTGCCTCACACAGAGAAGAGCGCTCCTCCAAGCCTAGTTTAATTCTCTCCACTGTTGCCTCAGTTGCCTGGGTTGGGTAGTAGAGCTCCCTGAGAGTGGGGGCGAGATGGGTGGGGCACAGAGGCAGAGTGGGTGCTGGAGCGTGGCCTGGCTCTGCAGGCAGGGTCACCCAGCCGGGGGCTCCTGGCTGCTCCAGATCAGAAAGCCACTGCGCCTGTGAGCATGCCCTGGTCTGCCAAGGCCTGTGTGAGACCTGCCCAGCCATCCAGGGTGCAGGGAAACCAGCGTCTCACCGAGCCAGCCCCTCCCACCTCCGCTCAGCAGCAAGAGCACCCAGGAGGCGCTTATTTTCCAACCGCTCACTTCCTGCCATCCTCCTGCCTTTCCTGTGGTGCGCCTGCCTGGATGGGAACCCACTGCAGCACTCTCTGAGCTCCCCACTTTCCCTAGAGACCCAACTTCCCTCAGATCACCACCAGAAGCCCCAGTCAGGGTCACACTGAGGTGAGGGCTGCCACCCTCAAACCGTCCCCTGCTCCACAGCTCCCGTGCTTCCTGCTGTGGTCCACAAGGCTGCTGGTCACCTCGCCCTGGCCCTCTCTCCCCCCTAGGGCCTCTGCTCCAGCCGTGCTGGCTCCTCCCTGACCCACTAACTCACCTCAGCCACTGGATCCTCTCTGGGCCTGCACTGGCTGTTCCCACTGCCAGGCAGTCTCCTACCCAAGGAGCCACAGTGCTCCTTGCTTCATCCAGGGATATTTTACCACCATGAAGTCCTCATACTCACTCATACATCGCAAAACCCAGCTAAAAACTACCAACCTAGACTTTCACATTTGGTCTGAGGTCATAGGTGGTTTTAACCCCACTTTCATACATCAGTGAAGAGGGTGGGCTGGGACTCAAGAGTCATCCAGTATCACACTGGGAAATGCACAGAGGCGAGCCTCCTTCATCCAGGCCTCCGCTCTGAGGCTGGCTCCTTAGGCTCGGTCAGCCCTGGTAAAACAGCAGCCTTAACCTCATGGCCCTGTCTCCTCTGCTGGCCTGCCTCCTCTTCGCTTCTCACTCTCCCACAGCAGCATGTGGATTGACTATCTGACTCCTCCACTAGTATGCAGCTTCCACAACAGGAATCTGGTCTGGTTAAAAAAAAAAAAAAAACAACTTTGTCCCCAGCACCTAGAATAGTGCCTGGCACAGAGTAAGCACTCAGTAAATACTTACTGAACAAATGAATAAAGGGATCTGGCCTTTTAGACTTTAAACCCAGGAAGAGCATTTTTGTCCCAAATGGAGCAAAACCTCCTTGATAAAAATCAATATATTTCCCAATGCTAAGTTTACGGTGGCAGCCAAAAACACAAACCCTGGTATTTACCTCCGTGCCTGTGGAGATGCTGACCTGCAGCTGAACTTCAGGAGGAGTTTTGTCAAGAGTCAATGCTCAATAAACAATCCCATCAGGTGAAAACATGTTGGGAAACAGGATACACATGCACAGTCTCAAAAATATCACCCATAGATTACTTATTAATTACAGAGGGAACACGAGTCGCTTTACAGCCGCAAGAGGCTACTGGCTACTGCCTCAACCAGGCCATGGGAGTCACCGTCACCCCTGCTGGGCACACTGACATCATGTGCCTCTTGATCATGTGGAATTCTGGCCAAAAACGCATAACCTGAGTCTAGTCACGAGGAAATATCAGCAAACCAAAATCCAGGGGCATTCAACAAAACAAGTGGCTTTATAACACTACAAAAATGTCCAAGTTAGAAAAGACAAAGAAAGGCTGAGGAATTGCTCCAGAGGAAGGGACACTAAAGAGACAGGACTAAAGGGGTTGGATTAGTTCCAGGGTTGGGATCCGGGGAGCGCCTGCACTGAAGCACGTGGCACAGCTTAACAATGGACTCTGTGTCACAGAACTCTCCTATGCATGGGAAATTTCCTGAAATTGATCATTTTACCCTTTTTTGCATCCATCGTTATCATTATTCTATGTATATGTGGAGGGAGGAAAAGCAAATGCAGCAAATGTTAGGTGAAGTGCTTTTATAAGGGAGTACCATGTACTATTCTTACAACTTTTCTGCAGGATTGGAATGCTTTTTTAGTAGGAAAATTTTTTTAAAAGTGTCAATACCTTTTGGAACCTCAGCACTTCACACTATTCTAAGCCTACCACGCATATAAACTCATTTACTCCTCATGACCAACATGAATGTGTATTATTATGATTTCACTTTATATATGAGGAAACTGAGGCACAGGGCCTGGAGTGGTCCCCAAGGGCCCACAGCCCCATGTGGTGCTCAGGGCCGGGCCCCACAGCAGCAGCCCCATCTGCCCACTGCAGGTTGGCAGATGAGACCAAGTGGCCTTGCCAGGCTCTCCCTGCCCCATGCTGTCTGGCAAGTGGACTGAGGGCACCACCTGCTCAGGATGAATGATACTAGGCAACACCCCTACCCAGAGCTCTTCCTGGTGGCCAGAGAACTGACCAACTCCCCAGTCCCACCCTCCTGCTGGCATTCTCGAAAGACAGCCTGGGATAACCGTAAACCCTCAAAAACTTATCCCTGGAAAATGTCCATAGTATATGAAGAGCACCTCCAACACTCCTTACAGAGTTCCCTGTCATGATTTTTAACATTGTGTCTTTTCTTAATTCAAATTATACTTGCACATATGCCAAAGAGTCAAATGAAGCTTGTTTTCAAGCACAATTTTCTGTTCCTCCCTGCTCCCAATTTCCAGCTCCTTCAAAGACACCACTT